ATCCCAGTCCATCCCAGTTTATCCCAGTTACCTTGCGCGCCCCCCGCTGGCTCCGCCCCGCCTGTCTGAGGTGGCCCCGCCCCTTTTCCAGCCGCGCCCCTGAGTCCTGCACGTGGCGCTCGATGCGGTCAATGAGCTCCCCCTGCACCAGTACGGACCAGTATAAACCAGTATAAACCGGTATGGACCAGTATAAACCAGTTTAAACCAGTATAAACCAGTATAAACCGGTATAAACCAGTATAAACCCGTTTAAACCAGTTTAAACCAGTATAAACCAGTATAAACCAGTATAAACCGGTATGGATCCCCCCCAGGCCGTGATGAGCAGCACTGGGACCCTCCCAGTCCCTCCCAGTCCCTCCCAGTTTGTCCCAGTCCATCCCAGTCCCATTTTTAACCCTTTAATCCCCATTTTTTGCCCCAAAATCTCCATTTTTCACCCCAAAACCTCCGGGTTTTTTGCCCCCAGTCCCTCCCAGTCCGTCCCAGTTTGTCCCAGTTGCTCCCAGTCCATCCCAGTCCATCCCAGTTCATCCCAGTGCCTTTTAACCCTTTAATCCCCATTTTTAACCCTTAAATCCCCATTTAGACCCCAAAATCTCCATTTTTCACCCCAAAACCGCCGGGTTTTTTGCTCCCAGTTCCTCCCAGTTTGTCCCAGTTTGTCCCAGTTTGCCCCAGTCCACCCCAGTCCATCCCAGTCCCATTTTTAACCCTTAAATCCCCATTTTTAACCCTTTAATCCCCATTTCTGACCCCAAAATCTCCATTTTTAACCCCAAAACCGCCGGGTTTTTTCCCCCCAGTCCCTCCCAGTTTGTCCCAGTCCATCCCAGTCCCATTTTAACCCTTTAATTTCCATTTTAACCCTTTAATCCCCACTTTTAACCCTTAAATCCCCATTTTTAACTCTTTAATCCCCATTTTGGACCCCAAAATCTCCATTTTTCACCCCAAAACCGCCGGGTTTTTTGCTCCCAGTCCCTCCCAGTCCCTCCCAGTCCCTCCCAGTCCATCCCAGTTTATCCCAGTCCATCCCAGTTCCTCCCAGTCCCATTTTAACCCTTAAATCCCCACTTTTAACCCTTAAATCCCCATTTTTAACCCTTTAATCCCCATTTTTTAACACAAAATCTCCATTTTTCACCCCAAAACCGCCGGGTTTTTTGCTCCCAGTTTGTCCCAGTTTGTCCCAGTTTGTCCCAGTTTATCCCAGTCCATCCCAGTCCATCCCAGTCCCATTTTAACCCTTAAATCCCCATTTTTTGCCCCAAAATCTCCGTTTTTCACCCCAAAACCGCCGGGATTTTTGCTCCCAGTCCCTCCCAGTCCCTCCCAGTCCCTCCCAGTCCCATTTTAACCCTTTAATTTCCATTTTAACCCTTCAATCCCCATTTTTAACCCTTTAATCCCCACTTTTAACCCTTTAATCCCCATTTTGGCCCCAAAATCTCCATTTTTCACCCCAAAACCTCCGGGTTTTTTGCTCCCAGTTCGTCCCAGTTTGTCCCAGTTTGTCCCAGTCCCACCTGGGCCTCCACGGTGCCCCCCAGGAGCTGGAAGAGCTCCCCCAGTTCCCTCAGGCCCCGCTCCAGCCTCTGCAGCTCCCGGTGCCGCTCCCCGACCTCGTCCAGAGCCGCCCGGGCGGCGCGAGCCGAGCCCAAAACCTGACCCGAAATTATCCCGAATTATCCCAGAATTCACGGGAATTCCCGAAATTCCCGAATTCCCAAAAAAAACCCGGGGAGAAACGGCCCAAAAATGGGGAAAATAGGAGGAAAAATGGGGAAAAAATCATAAAAATGACCCCAAAAATTCTGAATTAATCCCAAAAAATTCCTGATTTATCCCAAAATTATCCCAAAATTCCAGGAATTCCCAAAATTCCCGAATTCCCAAAAAAAACCCGGGGAAAAACGGCCCAAAAATGGGGAAAATCCGAGGAAAAATGGGGAAAAAATCATAAAAATTACCCAAAAAATTCCAAATTTTAGAGAAATTATTCCCCAAAATTATCCCGAATTATCCCAAAATTCATGGGAATTCCCGAAATTCCCAAATTCCCAAAAAAAACCCGGGGAAAAACGGCCCAAAAATGGGGAAAATCCGAGAAAAAATGGGAAAAAAAATCATAAAAATGACCCCAAAAAATTCTGAATTAATCCCAAAAAATCCTGAAATTATCCCAAAATTATCCTGGAATTCCTGGAATTTTTTGGAATTCCCAGAATTCCCGAATTCCCAAAAAAAACCCGGGGAAAAACGGCCCAAAAATGGGGAAAATAGGAGAAAAAAATGGGAAAAAAATCATAAAAATGACCCAAAAAATTCTGAATTATCCCCAAAAAATCCTGAAATTATCCCAAAATTATCCCGGAATTCCAGGAATTTTTTGGAATTCCCAGAATTCCCGAATTCCCAAAAAAAACCCGGGGAAAAACGGCCCAAAAATGGGGAAAATCCGAGGAAAAATGGGGAAAAAAATCATAAAAATGACGCAAAAAATTCCAAATTATCCCCAAAAAATCCTGAAATTATCCCAAAATTATCCTGGAATTCCAGGAATTCCAGGAATTCCCGAATTCCCAAAAAAAACCCGGGGAAAAACGGCCCAAAAATGGGGAAAATCCGAGGAAAAATGGGGAAAAAATCATAAAAATGACCCCAAAAAATTCCAAATTATCCCCAAAAAATTCCAGATTTATCCCAAAATTATCCCGGAATTCCTGGAATTTTTTGGAGTTCCCAGAATTCCTGAATTCCCAAAAAAAACCCGGGGAAAAACGGCCCAAAAATGGGGAAAATAGGAGAAAAAATGGGGAAAAAAATCATAAAAATGACCCAAAAAAACCCCAAAAAAACCCCAAAATTCCCCAAAATCCAAATTTTCCCAAATCCCAAAAATTCCCCCAAAATCCCCAAAAAATTCCCAAAAAATCTCCCAAAAATTCCCAAAATTCCCCCCAAAATTTCAAAATATTCATCAAAAATCCCCCCAAAAATTCCCCAAAAAATCCCCAAAAATCCCCAAAAAATCCAAAAAATTCCCAAAAAATTCCCCAAATCCCAAAAATCCCAAATTTTCCCAAAATCCCCCGAATTCTCCCCAAAAATCCTCAAAAAAAGTAAAAAAAATCCCAAAATCCCCTAAAAAATCCCCCCAAAATTAAAAAAAACCCAAAAAAATTCCCCCCAAAATTCCCAAAAAATTCCCAAAAAATTCCCCAAAAATTCCTAAAATCCCCAAAATCCCAAATTTTCCCGAAATCCCCCGAATTCTCCCCAAAAATCCTCCAAAAAGTAAAAAAAATACCAAAAATCCCCTAAAAAATCCCCCAAAAATTCAAAAAAAATCCCAAAAAAATCCCAAAAAATTCCCAAAAATTCCCCAAATCCCCAAAATCCCAAATTTTCCCAAAATCCCCCGAATTACCCCCAAAATCCTCCAAAAAAGTAAAAAAAAATCCCAAAAATCCCCTAAAAAATCCTCAAAAAATTTTGAAAATTTAAAAAAAAAACCCCAAAAATAAAAAAAAAAAATTCCAAAAAATCCAAAAAAATTCCTAAAATCCCAAAAATCCCAAATTTTCCCCAAATCCCCCAATTTTCCCCCAAAATCCTCCAAAAAATTAAAAAAAAATCCCAAAATCCCCCCAAAAATCCCAAAAAAAATTTAAAAAACCCCAAAAAAATCCCCAAAAATTCCCAAAAAATTCCCAAAAAATCCCCAAAAAATCCCAAAAAAATCCCAAAAAAATTCCCAAAAAATTCCCAAAAAATTCCTAAAATCGCCAAAATCCCAAATTTTCCCCAAATCCCCCAAATTCCCCCCAAAATCCTATAAAAAATTTTTAAAAATCCCAAAAATCCCCTAAAAAATCCCCAAAAAAATCCCAAAAAAATCCCAAAAAAATAAAAAAAAATCCCAAAAATTCCCAAAAAATTCCCAAAAAATTCCTAAAATCACCAAAATCCCAAATTTTCCCAAAATCCCCCGAATTCTCCCCAAAAATCCTCAAAAAAATTAAAAAAGATCCCCAAAAAATTAAAAAAACCCCCAAAAAAATCCCAAAAAAATCAAAAAAATTCCCAAAAAATTCCCAAAAAATTCCTAAAATCCCCAAAATCCCAAATTTTCCAAAAATCCCCCGAATTCCCCCCAAAATCCTCCAAAAAAGTAAAAAAAAATCCCAAAAATCCCCTAAAAAGTCCCCCAAAAATTAAAAAAAAATCCAAAAAAAATCCCAAAAAAATTCCCAAAAAATTCCTAAAATCCCAAAAATCCCATATTTTCCCAAAATCCCCCGAATTACCCCCAAATCCTCAAAAAAAGTAAAAAAAAATCCAAAAATCCCCTAAAAAATCCCCAAAAAAACCCCCAAAAAAACCCAAAAAAAATCCAAAAAAAATAAAAAAAAAATCCAAAAAATTCCCAAAAATTCCCCAAAATCCCCAAAATCCCAAATTTTCCCAAATTCCCCAAATTCCCCCCAAAATCCTCAAAAAAAATCCCAAAAAATTCCCAAAAAAATCCCAAAATAATAAAAAAATCCCCCCAAAAAATCCAAAAAAAATCCAAAAAATTCCAAAAAATTCCCAAAAAATTCCCAAAAAATTCCTAAAATCCCCAAAATCCCAAATTTTCCCAAATTCCCCCGAATTCCCCCAAAATCCTCAAAAAAAGAAAAAAAAAATCCAAAAATCCCCTAAAAAATCCCAAAAAAACCCCCAAAAAAACCCAAAAAAAATCCAAAAAAAATCCCAAAAATTCCCAAAAAATTCCCAAAAATTCCCCAAAATCCCCAAAATCCCAAATTTTCCCAAATTCCCCCGATTTCCCCCCAAAATCCTCACGTTGCTGACGAAGATTTCGCTCTGGCCCGACTCCAGCATCAGCTCCAGCTCCTCCTCCGACAGCGGGGGGCTCCCGGCTGACCCCAAAAAACAGCAAAAATTGGGAAAAGAACCCAAAATTTGGGGAAAAAACCCCAAAATTTGGGAAAAGGAGCCAAAAATTGGGGAAAAGAACCCCAAAATTTGGGAAAAAAACAACAAAATTTGGGGAAAAACCAACAAAATTTGGGAAAAAATCCCAAAAAATGGGGAAAAACCCCCAAAATTTGGGAAAAATACCCAAAAAATGGGGAAAAAACCCCAAAATTTGGGGAAAAACCCTGAAAATTTGGGAAAAGAACCCAAAAATTGGGAAAAGAACCCAAAATTTGGGGAAAAAACCCCAAAATTTGGGAAAAGGAGCTAAAAATTGGGGAAAAGAACCCCAAAATTTGGGAAAAAAACCCCAAAATTTGGGAAAAAAACAACAAAATTTGGGAAAAAACTCAAAAATTTGGGAAAAAAACCCCAAAATTTGGGAAAAAACCCCAAAATTCGAGAAAAAACAAAATTTGGGGAAAAAAATCAAAAATTTGGGTAAAAAACACCAAAAATTGGGAAAAAACCCAAAATTTGGGAAAAAACCCAAAAAATTTGGAGAAAAACCAAAAAAATTTGGGAAAAAAACCCCAAAATTTGGGAAAAGAAGCCAAAAATTGGGGAAAAAAACCCAAAAATTGGGAAAAGAACCCAAAATTTGGGAAAAAAACCCCAAAAATTTGGGAAAAAACCCAAAAAATGGGGAAAAAACCCCAAAATTTGGGGAAAAAACAACAAAATTGGGGAAAAAACCCCAAAATTTGGGAAAAAACCCTGAAAATTTGGGAAAAGAATCCAAAATTTGGGGAAAAACCTCAAAAATTTGGGAAAAAACCCCAAAATTTGGGAAAAAAACCCCAAAATTTGGGAAAAAACACCAAAAAATGGGGAAAAAACACAAAAAATTGGGAAAAAAAGCAACAAAAATTGGGATTTTGGAGCCTCCCCTCCCCCCAATTTTTGGGGTTTTTTTCCCAAAATTTTTTTGATTTTTCCCAGATTTTTGTGGATTTTTTTTCCGATTTTTTTTTTGTATTTTTCCCAAATTTTGGGGAATTTTTTGGAATTCTTTTGGGACCCCCTGGAATTTTTTGGGACCCCCTGGAATTTTTTAGGATTTTCCCAGAATTTTTCAGGATTTTTCCAGAATTTTTTTGGGGTCCCCAGGAATTTTTTTGGGATTTTCCCAGAATTTTTTAGGATTTTCCCAGAATTTTTTAGGATTTTCCCAGAATTTTTTGGGACCCCCTGGAATTTTTTAGGATTTTCCCAGAATTTTTTAGGATTTTCCCTGGAATTTTTTGGGACCCCCTGGAATTTTTTAGGATTTTCCCAGAATTTTTTGGGAACCCCAAGAATTTTTTGGGACCCCCAGGAATTTTTTAGGATTTTCCCAGAATTTTTTGGGCTCCCCTGGAATTTTTTGGGGTCCCCTGGAATTTTTTGGGACCCCGTGGAATTTTTTTGGATTTTCCCAGAATTTTTTTGGATTTTCCCAGAATTTTTTTGGGGTCCCCAGGAATTTTTTGGGGTCCCCTGGAATTTTTTGGGACCCCCAGGAATTTTTTTGGGGTCCGCTGGAATTTTTTGGGATTTTCCCAGAATTTTTTTGGATTTTCCCAGAATTTTTTAGGATTTTCCCAGAATTTTTTGGGACCCCCAGGAATTTTTTTGGGGTCCCCAGGAATTTTTTTAGGATTTTCCCAGAATTTTTTAGGATTTTCCCAGAATTTTTTAGGATTTTCCCAGAATTTTTTAGGATTTTCCCAGAATTTTTTGGGACCCCCAGGAATTTTTTTGGGGTCCCCAGGAATTTTTTTGGGGTCCCCAGGAATTTTTTGGGATTTTCCCAGAATTTTTTGGGACCCCCTGGAATTTTTTGGGACCCCCAGGAATTTTTTTGGGGTCCCCAGGAATTTTTTTGGGACCCCCAGGAATTTTTCAGGATTTTCCCAGAATTTTTTAGGATTTTCCCAGAATTTTTTGGGACCCCCTGGAATTTTTTAGGATTTTCCCAGAATTTTTTAGGATTTTCCCAGAATTTTTCAGGATCCCCTGGAATTTTTCTGGGGTCCCCAGGAATTTTTTGGGGTCCCCTGGAATTTTTTTGGGACCCCCTGGAATTTTTTAGGATTTTCCCAAATTTTTTTGGGACCCCCTGGAATTTTTTAAGATTTTCCCAGAATTTTTTAGGATTTTCCCAGAATTTTTTTGGGGTCCCCAGGAATTTTTTGGGGTCCCCAGGAATTTTTTGGGGTCCCCTGGAATTTTTTAGGATTTTCCCAGAATTTTTTTGGGGTCCCCAGGAATTTTTTTAGGATTTTCCCAGAATTTTTTGGGACCCCCAGGAATTTTTTGGGGTCCCCAGGAATTTTTTTGGATTTTCCCAGAATTTTTTGGGGTCCCCTGGAATTTTTTTGGGGTCCCCAGGAATTTTTTGGGGTCCCCAGGAATTTTTTTGGGGTCCCCAGGAATTTTTTGGGACCCCCAGGAATTTTTTAGGATTTTCCCAGAATTTTTTGGGGTCCCCAGGAATTTTTTTGGGACCCCCTGGAATGTTTTTAGGATTTTCCCAGAATTTTTTAGGATTTTCCCAGAATTTTTTAGGATTTTCCCAGAATTTTTTGGGACCCCCAGGAATTTTTTGGGGTCCCCAGGAATTTTTTGGGATTTTCCCAGAATTTTTTAGGATTTTCCCAGAATTTTTTTGGGGTCCCCAGGAATTTTTTGGGGTCCCCAGGAATTTTTTGGGAACCCTTAAAATTTTTTTCCCAATTTCCCAGAATTTTTTTGGGACTTCCTAAAATTTTTTTGGATTTTCCCAGAATTTTTTTGGGGCCCCCTGGAATTTTTTTAGGATTTTCCCAGAATTTTTTGGGGTCCCCAGGAATTTTTTTGGGGTCCCCAGGAATTTTTTTGGGGTCCCCAGGAATTTTTTGGGGCCCCCTGGAATTTTTTGGGGTCCCCAGGAATTTTTTTGGGACCCCCAGGAATTTTTTGGGGTCCCCTGGAATTTTTTGGGGTCCCCACCGATGTGGAGCTGGCGCCGGATCCGGTCGAGGCTGCGCTGGCGGTACCGAGCTTGGGCGGCCTGGAGGCGTCCGGTGACCCCCCAAAACTGCTGGGCCAGGAGCCCGTGCTGGGAGGGGAACCCCAAAATCAGAATGAGGGACCCCAAAAACCCCAAAATCCCAAAAATTCCCCCAAAATTCCCGCGAAAATCGACCCAGGAATGACCAAAATCCAACCAAAATCTCCCTAAAATCGCCCCAAAATTCACCCAAATCACCCCAAAATCCCAACCCAGGACCCCCAAAAGTTGTTGGGGACCCCAAAATCCCCAAAATTCCCCAAAAATTCCCCCAAAATTCCCCAAATTCCCAGAAATTCCCACGAAAATCAACCCAGGAATGACGAAAATCCAACCAAAAGCTCCCTAAATTCACCCAAATCAACCCAAAATCACCCCAAAATCCCAACCCAGGAGCCCCAAAAGTTGTTGGGGACCCCAAAATTAAAAAGAGGGACCCCAAAAACCCCAAAATCCCAAAAATTCCCCCAAAATTCCCAGAAATTCCCAAAATTCCCGCGAAAATCGACCCAGGAATGATCAAAATTCACCCAAATCCACCCAAAATCCACCAAAATCACCCCAAAATCCCAACCCAGGAGCCCCAAAAGTTGTTGGGGACCCCAAAATGGGAAAGAGGGACCCCAAAAACCCCAAAATCACAAAAATTCCCCCAAATCCCCCAAAAATCCCCCAAATTTCCCCAAAAAATCCCAAAAATCCCAAAATCCCCCCCAAAATTCCCCAAAAATCCGAGAAAAGCCCCCAAAAAATCCCCACAAAATTCCCCAAAATCTCCCCAAATTTCCCCAAAAAATCCCTAAAATCCCCCCAAATTCCCAAAATTCCCCAAAATCCCAAAATTCCCCAAAATTATCCCAAAATTCCCCCAAAATTCCAAGAAAAATCCAAAAAAAATCCCCCTAAAATTCAAAAAAAATCCCCAAAATTCCCCAAAAATTCCCAAAAAAATCCCAAAAATCCCCAAAAAATCCCCAAAATTCCCACAAAATCCCCCAAAAATCCCCCCAAAATTCCCAAAATTCCCAAAAATCCCCAACCCCCCCCAAAATTCCCAAAAATCCCCCAAAATCCAAAAAAATCCCCCAAAAATTCCCAAAAATTCCCCCAAAATTCCCAAATTCCCAAAATTCCCAAAAATTCCCAAACTCACCCCAAAACTCCCCAAAAATTACCATTATAACCCCTTAAAATCCCATTATAACCACCCCAAAACCCCTAAAAATCCCCCCCAAAAATCCCAAAAAATTCCCAAAATTCCCCAAATTCTCCCAGAATTCCCAAATTCCCCCAAAATTCCCAAAATCCTCCCCAAAATTCCCAAAAAATTCCCATTATAACCCCTTAAAATTTCATTATAACCACCCCAAAACCCCTAAAAATCCCCCAAAAAATCCCAAAAAATCCCAAAAATTCCCAAAAATTCCCCCAAAATTCCCAAACTCCCCGAAATTCCCGGAATTCCTCCTGACCTGCCCGGAGCAGGATGACCTGGTCGTCCAAGGGGAGCCCCGAGAAGTGGGGGACCCTCTTGGCCCACTCGACGAGGGTGAAGAGCTGCTTGTCGGCCGCCTGGCAGATGTTGGTCACCGGGTCATTGGGCTGAATTTGGGGCGATTTCGGGGCAAATTGAGACCCCCCCCAACATTCCCGGAATTCCCAAACCCATCCCGGAATTCCCAAGGAAAAATCCTGGAAGAAACCCGGCGGAAATCGGACGGGAAATGGGGGAAAGCGGGGTGGGAAACGGGGAAATTCAGCACAAAAATGGGAAAAATCGGGGTGGGAAAGGGGGGAAACCCCAAATTTTGGGAGCCTTCCTGGAGGATTTTGGGGGAAATTGAGACCTCTCCTGATATTCCCGGAATTCCCAAACCCATCCCAGAATTCTCAAGGAAAAATCTTGGAAAAAACTTGGTGGAAATCGGATGGGAAATGGGGAAACTCAACCGGAAAATGGGGAAAAATCGAGGTGGGAAAGGGGGTAAACCCCAAATTTTGGGAGCATTCCTGGAGGATTTTGGGGGAAATTGAGATAGATCCTGATATTCCTGGAATTCCCAAACCCATCCCGGAATTCCCAAGGGAAAAATCCTGCAAAAAACCTGACCAAAATCAGCACCAAAATGGGGAAATTCAGAGCAAAAAAGGGAAAAATCGGGGTGGGAATGAGGGGAAAACCCAAATTTTGGGAGCCTTCCTGGAGGATTTTGGGGGAAATTGAGACTTCTCCTGATATTCCCGGAAATCCCAAACCCATCCCGGAATTCTCAAGGAAAAATCTTGGAAAAAACTTGGTGGAAATCGGATGGGAAATGGGGAAACTCAACCGGAAAATGGGGAAAAATCGGGGTGGGAAAGGGGGTAAACCCCAAATTTTGGGAGCATTCCTGGAGGATTCTGGGGGAAATTGAGTTAGATCCTGATATTCCCAGAATTCCCAAACCCATCCCGGAATTCCCAAGGGAAAAATCCTGGAAAAAACCTGACCAAAATCAGCACCAAAATGAGGAAATTCAGAGCAAAAAAGGGAAAAATCGGGGTGGGAAAGGGGGTAAACCCCAAATTTTGGGAGCATTCCTGGAGGATTTTGGGGGAAATTGAAACCTCTCCTGATATTCCCGGAATTCCCAAACCCATCCCGGAATTCTCAAGGAAAAATCTTGGAAAAAACTTGGTGGAAATTGGACGGGAATTGGAAAAAATAACCTCAAAAAATTCCCCCCAAAATTCCCCAAATTCAAAAAAAATCCCCAAAAAAATCAGAAAAAATCAGAAAAATTCCCCCAAATTCCCAAAAATTCCAAAAAAAATCCTAAAAGATCCCCAAAAAAATCCCCCCAAAATTCCCCATAATACCCAAAAAATCCCAAAATTTACAAAAAAATTCCCCCAAAAATCCCAAAATTTCCAAAAATTCCAAAAAATCCTAAAAGATCCCCAAAAAATTCCAAAAAAATTCCCCAAAAAATCCCCCAAAAATTCAGAAAAAATCCCCAAATTTCCCCCAAAAAATCCCCCCAAAATCCCAAAATTCCCAAAAAATTCCAAAAAAAATTCTAAAAAATCCTAAAAATTACCAAAAATCCCCCCAAAATTCTAAAAAATCCCCAAGAAATCCCCAAAAATTCCAAGAAAATTCCTAAAAAATCCCAAAATTTCCCAAAAATTAAAAAAAATGCCTAAAAAAATCCTAAGATCCCCCAAAAATTCCCAAAAAATCCTCCAAAATTGAAAAAAATTCCTAAAATATCAAAAAAAATTCTGAAATAATTCCGAAAAAAAATCCCAAAATTTCCCCAAAATTCAAAAAAAATCCCCAAAAATTCCAAAAAAATTCCTAAAAAGTTCTAAAAGATCCCCAAAAAGTCCCCCAAAAATTCCCCAAAATTCAGAAAAAAATCCTAAAAATTCCTAAAAATGAAAAAAAATAAAAATCCTAAAAGATCCCAAAAAATTCCTGACAAAAATCCCCAAAAATTCCAAAAAAATTTCTAAAAAAATCCCCCAAAATTCCAAAAAAAATCCCCAAAAATTCCTAAAAAATTCTAAAAGTCCCCCAAAAATCCACCCCAAAATCCCCCCCAAAAATTCCCCAAAATTCAAAAAAAAATCCCAAAATTTCCCAAAAATTAAAAAAAAAAATTCCCCAAAAAATTTCTAAAAATTCCTAAAAAAATCCCCCAAAATTCCAAAAAAAAATCCTAAAAATTCCAAAAAAAATCCCCCAAAATTCCAGAAAATTCCTAAAAAAATCCCCCAAAATTCCAGAAAATTCCAGAAAATTCCTAAAAAAATCCCCCAAAATTCCAGAAAATTCCTAAAAATTCCTAAAAAAATCCCCCAAAATTCCTAAAAATTCCTAAAAAAATCCCCCAAAATTCCAAAAAAAATTCCTAAAAATTCCTAAAAATATCCCCCAAAATTCCAGAAAATTCCTAAAAATTCCTAAAAATTCCTTAAAAAATCCCCCAAAATTCCAGAAAATTCCTAAAAATTCCTAAAAATTCCTAAAAAAATCCCCCCAAATTACAGAAAATTCCTAAAAATTCCTTAAAAAATCCCCCAAAATCCCACGAAATTCCAGAAAATTCCTAAAAAAATCCCCCAAAATCCCGAAAAAAATCCTAAAAATTCCTAAAAAAATCCCCCAAAATTCCAGAAAATTCCTAAAGAAATCCCTTAAAATTCCAAAAAAATTCCTAAAAATTCCTAAAAAAATCCCCCAAAATTCCAGAAAATTCCTAAAAATTCCTAAAAAAATCCCCCAAAATCCCCCAAAATTCCAGAAAATTCCGAAAAAAATCCCCCAAAATCCCAGAAAATTCCTAAAAATTCCTAAAAAAATCCTAAAAATTCCAGAAAATTCCTAAAAATTCAAAAAAAAATCCCCCAAAATCCCCCAAAATTCCAGAAAATTCCGAAAAAAATCCCCCAAAATCCCAGAAAATTCCTAAAAATTCCTAAAAAAATCCCCCAAAATTCCAGAAAATTCCTAAAAATTCCTAAAAAAAATCCCCCAAAATCCCCAAAAAATTCCTAAAAAAATCCTAAAAGCTCCAGAAAATTCCTAAAAATTCCTAAAAATTCCTAAAAAAATCCCCCCAAATTCCTAAAAATTCCTAAAAAAATCCCCCAAAATTCCAGAAAATTCCAGGAAATTCCCCCAAAAAATCCCCCAAAATTCCAGAAAAAAAATCCTAAAAATTCCTAAAAATG